ATAAATAAATACATAAATATATAAATAAATTAGGCACTCAATCCGCAACGGTTTGTGGGACACCGCTGTGCGCCATTGGCTGCTGCGTTTTGCCCACAAAATCCACGGTCAATTCAATTTATGCATTCTGTGGAACGCCTCGATGACATACGCCCTGTAGCTCAGTGGTTAGAGCACTCGCTTTGCGAGCGAGAGACCTGAGTTCAATTCCAGGCAGAGGGCGAAACCTTGGGCAAGTTTCCTTACTCCACACAGAACCTAATAATAATCCCTCCAAAACCAAAAACAATAATAAATTGGTCATCGTCAATCCACGACTGTTTGTGGGACATTGCTGTGCACAATTGGCTGCCGCGTTCGCCCACAAATATACAGTCAATTCACTTTACAGTGTGTTCTGTGAAGCGCTTTGGGACGTCCTCCCGACGTGAAAAGCGCTATATCAAATGCAAGGATTATTATTATTATAAGGCGCGATATCAAATGCAAGGATTATTATTATTATTAAGATATGATCTGTTCCACAGTGATCCAGAATGGAAACCCTGATTGATTTCTCCTCCCTCCCTCTGGGGAACTTGGGTCAATTTATAGCTGCCTAACAACCAGCCAATTTGGTTGAGATCAGCCAACTCACTCGGCACAGAACAGGATTTGAACCGATGATCTCCCGTGACCTGACTGGCGTTGCACTGGGTGGAGCCTTGAAAAACACAAGGCCAGAACATCAACATTAACAGGGAGACCGAGAGGAAGGGGATAAAACGCACAGCTTCCTGCGGGGAGGAGGATTTTCTCTATAAAAAAAAATGATGGTTCCTCTTGACTGCGTTAAACGTGCACAGCTGCATTAAAATGTACAATTCAATAATCGTTATTGATGTCCCGCTCTGGTACAGGCAGCAGAAAGTATATTTCACTCACAGCGGAAGCAAACCTGATTAACACACCTCAGGATTTGAATAGTGCAAGTTGCAGTGCAATGAATAATTTGGGTGTTGTGAGCCAGTGCGTGTCCAATGCCCAAGATTGGATCAAAAACTTGGTTAACTTTATAATAATCCTTGCATTCGATATTTCTCCTTATCACGTAGTCAGGGCGTCTTAAAGAGCTTCACAGAATATATTGTAAAGTAAGTTGGCTGTGTGCTTTGAGGGCGAAACACGGCAGCCAATTGCGCACAACAGTGTCCCGCAAACAGTCGTGGATTGGGTGACCCGATTATAATTTATTAGTGATATTCTACCATTTATTACAATAATATTGTACTTTCTTGGCTCTTTTCTTCATTTTGTGGACGGTTGTAGGTGGGATATCCCTGTGCGCAAATTGGCCCCCCCCAGTGTTTGCCTACAAAAATACTCACTTAAGAATAAAAATCCTACAAAGCACTTTGAGACATCCACACCATCTTGTGTTAATCCCAATGCCAGCCCAAGAAAACATACAGAGTCAGACATAAGTGTCTCCAGATTGCTGAACCAAACCTGTAAAGACTAGGCCACACATTCCATTACTACAGTAGTAATCAGTGAAGTGCACCAGTCTTATCAGTTACACAAAGCTATCTAGTTAGAATAGCTTTTGTCAAACAATGACCCAAATTTCAGTGACATGACTGGAGGAAGCGAGTGAGACGATTCTCTCCCCGCAGATCTGGTTATCTGGTCTCGCAGTAAAGAAAAACAACTTTTTTTTTCTGACCTTAAATCTGGGAGAACCCACATAAAACTGCCATTAGTAATTCAGTAAATCTGATATTGTCGCACAGAGAGTATCTATCTCCGCAAAACACACAGTCAATTCACTCTACAGTATATTAGTGAGGCCCTTTGAGACGTCTCGACGACATGATAAGGCGTTATTTCAAATGCAAGGATTATTATTGTTATTCCCAGCACTGAAGTGAAACCAGTCAAATGCACCGTACAGTGGATTCCTTTGCTTTTTTTTTGTTAATGATAAATTGGCAAGTAGGAAATAAACAAACTGGATAGGTGAAATGTAACAAAGCATAACCACAAGATAAACTAAAAGAGACTGGCACAGATGGCGACATGGGAACAGCGTGTGTGTATATATATATACATATATATATATATAGTAGGTAAATACTGGATAGAACACAATCGTATGTAAGTGTTTGCAACACAAATTAGCGTCACCCCAGCTCAGCAAGTGACGATCACAGTGTCAACACAGAGTAAAGTTCACATTTTTTTCTCTCTTTACGCTTAGATCCATAATTGGACCCGTAGAATCATACGGCACAGAAGGAGGCCATTCGGCCCATCATGCCTGCGACGGCTCTTTGAAAGAGCTATCCTGCTTTTTCAAAGACGCCGTTGAAAGAACTGCTGTGCGCAATTGGCGGCCACGTTTCGCCCACAAATATACAGTCAATTCGCTTTACAGTATATTCTATGAAGCGCTTTGAGACGTCGAGAAGACGTGAAAAGCACTATGTCAAATGCAAGGATTATGATCATTATCATCCAACTAGTCCCACTCCCCCACTCTTTCCCCACAAACTTTTCCTTTTCAAGTATACATCCAATTCCCTTTTGAAAAGTATTATTGAATCTGCTTCCACCACACTTTCAGGCAGTACATTCCAGTTACAACAACAACAACAAGATTGCATTTCTAGAGCGCCTTTCACATCGGGAGGACGTCCCAAGGCGCTGGACAGTTGGGTCGGGACCCGAGCAGTGGGGAAATGGTCAGGGTGAGGGCAAGGAAGTGAGGGAGCGATCAGGGGAAAGAGTCGAGAGGGGAGCTGAAGGCACGGTCAAAGAGAAAGGTCTTGAGACCGGCCTTGAAGGAGGAAAGGGAGGAAGCGGCGAAGGCACTGGGGATAGAGTTCCAGAGCCTCGGGGCTGAAAGCCCGGCCATCGATGGTAGGGCGGTTGGGGCGGGGGATATGGAGCAGACCGGAGCCAGAGAAACGGAGGGTATGGGCAGGTACGTGGGGGGATAGTAGGTCGGAGAGGTAGGAGGGAGCGAGGCCGTGAATGGCCTTGTAGGTGAGGATGAGATAGTAACAACTCTATGCGTAAAAAAAATCTCATATTCCCTTCTCGTTTTTTTTTGCCAATTATCTTAAATCTGTGCCCTCTGATTAACGATCCACCCACCTGTGGAAACAGTCTCCCCTGATTTACTCCATCAAAACCCGTCAGAATTGTGAACACCTCTATTCAAATTCCCCTCAACCCTCTCTGCTCTAATTCCAGCACGAAATGAGCAGAGAATCTGACCCAACATCAGTGACTCCAAATCTATGCCCTGAGCAAAGCGCAGGCCGTCAAAACTTATTCAACTCGACAGGGCCTCCAAAGTTCAACTATAATTAGACATCAAAGGAGTTGCTGTTACACACCAAAAAAATGTGGCTCCAATGGACGGAACAAGAAGAGGGCAATGTGGAATGCCGAAAATGTGGGAAACGCAACCATAACCCTGGGCTGGTTAGATAGTCTGTCTGTCTGTGTGTCTGTCTGTCTGTTCGCCCACATACCATTCATTTCACTTTCACAATAAAGTAGGGAGCAGAGCACGTTTCCAGCGGAGGTGTGTGTGTGTGTGTTTTTTTTAAGAAGAAAGAAACAGAACGAAAGGAACTGTAAATAGTGGGTCTAAATCAATGCAACAAAAAAAAAGAAGGGCGACGACTTTCTAGCGGGAGGGGGAGGTGGGGAGAGCTTGCTGAAGCCACACCGGGGGGTGGGTCGGGGGTGGGTGGGTGGGGGGGGTGTGTGCGAAAGGAGGTCCACATGCTGCGGATTTAAACAGCTCGAGACAGAAGCACACACTCCTCTCTCGCCTCCTGCGACAAAAGAAATGTACAGAACACCATTTCCTTCCCTATAAGGGCCTGGTCGATGCGGAGATGACAAGTTAACCTTTCACCTGCGTCAGAGCTACTACCGGCTCCCAAGGAAGCTCAGGCTCGCCGTGAGGCACCAGTTACCGGGCGCGACCTCTCGAATTTAACAGATCTAGAGTGAAAAAGACAAGTCAGCTCGCCACCACCCCCCCCCCCACCCCAAAAAAAAAGCTACCATTTTCCAGATAAAGAGCAAAAGTTGTGTACTGTACTTGGCAGTTTCCCAAAGTGGTTTTGAATTACCAGACACTTTCTCTCTCTCCTCCCCCCAATGCTCAGCTACACACACGACTGCACCATCCTACTTAGATTGGAAGTGCTTTGGTTGGAGGGAAGTTAAGACGTTATATAATAATACTTGTGATTAATTTACTCCAACTCTGGATGGGTGGGTGTTGGCGAGATATATAGTTGAGGTAGATATTCTGCTTGGATTGAGTGTGTGTGTGTGTGAGAGAGAGAGAGAGAAACTTTTTTTTTGGGGGGGTTGGAAAATTAACACAAGGCTATATATACAGTACATATATATATATATATATATATTTTATCCTCCTCTCCCTTTCATACACATCTCACACACACACACACACATATATATAAAGAAACACACTATATATATAAAGAAACACACTATATATATAAAGAAACACACTATATATATAAAGAAACACACTATATATAAAGAAACACACTATATATATAAAGAAACACACTATATATATAAAGGAACACACTATATAAAGGAACACACTATATATATGCATAAACAAACACACTATATATATATAAACACACACACTATACATATAAACACACACCACATAATCTATATAAACACACACAATATATATATATATATATATAGATAAATAAATAAATAAATAACCACACACAAATATATAATATAATTTACACAGAGACTTAAGATTATGGGTGGACACGCAATCGTTTTTTTAAAAAAAAACAAAAAAAAGAGAAGAGAAGACAGACAAACAAACAGATAAATAAATCGATAGGATCATTAATATGATCCAGACCCCCCCAAAAAAAAAAAAACACACACAACACACAAAAGAGAGAGAGAGAGAGAGACAGCATTGTTTTTTTTACCTTTAGGGCGAATTTATCTCCAGTCTTTTTGCTGAAACACTCCAAAACTTTGCCATTGATGCCCAGTCCCAGGACCTGGGCTGTGACCTTGTAGTCGTCGGTGATGGCGTTCTTCTTGGTCTGAACCCCGGCTCGGGGGGCTGGTGGGGGGGGGGTGCAGCAGGGCAGGAGGGGGGGCGGCGGGGGGGGGGGAGGGGGTGATGGTGGGGAGGGAACAGGCGGCAGATACATTGTCGCTGGAGGCTCCATGACCTGCTTCAGTGGTTGCGGATCCCTGTTGGTCAACATGTGTTGGGGGTTGGGTTTGGGGGTTGGGGTGGGATGGGAGGGGTTGGGGGGGGGGGGGGGAGGAGGGATGGGCGGGGGGTGGGGGGTGGGGTAAGAAGAGGCGGATACTTTGTAGCCCCCCAATAAAAAAAAAGTTGCAAGTCCAACACAACACACACTTAGGGTTTTTACCTCCACCACCACCACCCCCCCACCCCCACACACACCCACCACTCACTCCCCCCCTGTGCTGTGTCAGGAGGGGGGAGGGGGGGGGAAGAGAGGAGAGGAAAGGAAAAGTAAGTGGCTTTGAGATGAGAGAGACTTGCTTCACTACCCCCCCCCACTACTGCTACTACTACTGGTACCACCACCACCCCCTCCCACACACCTACACCCCCTCCCACACACCTACACCCCCTCCCACACACCACCACCCCCTCCCACACACCTACACCCCCTCCCACACACCTACACCCCCTCCCACACACCTACACCCCCTCCCACACACCACCACCCCCTCCCACACACCACCACCCCCTCCCACACACCTACACCCCTCCCCTCCCACACACCTACACCCCCTCCCACACACCTACACCCCCTCCCACACACCTACACCCCTCCCACACACCTACACCCCCTCCCACACACCTACACCCCCTCCCACACACCTACACCCCCTCCCACACACCACCACCCCCTCCCACACACCTACACCCCCTCCCACACACCACCCCCTCCCACACACCACACCCCCCCCCCACACACCCCCTCCCACACACACACACCCCCTCCCACACACCTACACCCCCTCCCACACACCTACACCCCCTCCCACACACACACACACAGCCCAGTTTGGATCAGTCAAGAGGCAGCCAGGTTGACAAGGGTTTCCCTTCCCCCCCCACCTACCTACCTCTCTCTCTCTCTCTCTTTCTCCCCTCTTTGCCAATTCTTCTTCTCCTCCCTCCAATCACCACCACCTCTCTCTCTCTCTCACCTTCTCTTTCTCTCTCCCTCTCTTTCTCTTCTCTCCTTTGCCAATTTCCCCCCTTCTCCCTCTCTCTGTCTCTCTCCCTCTCTCTCCTCTTTGCCAATTTCCCCCCTTCTCCCTCTCTCTCTCTCTCACACACTCACTCACTCTCTCAAAAAAAAATATATATATTAAAATGAATTCATTCGGGGCAGAAGAATACCAATAAAAAAAAAGAGAGAGAGGGAGAGAGGGGGAAAAAAAAAGCCCTCAGTGCCAGGGAATCTTTATAGGTCTCCTTCTCTTCCCCCCAACACCAACCCCCAACCCCCAACCCCACCCCCTACTCTCAACCACTTCTTTTCTTTTCTTTTCTTTCCTTCCTTTTCTCCCCCACTTTTTTTTTGGAGAGAGAGAAGGAAAGAGGGAAAGAGATATAGAAAAAAAAAGTCCTCCCTTTCTGGAAGAATTTTACACTCCTTTTTTTTGGTTTCCCCCCTTCTCTCTCTCTCTCACTCTCTCTCTCTCCTTCTCTCCAACCCTCTCTTTCTTTCCTTCCTTCCTTTCTTTTTTTCCCCCTCTTCTCTTCTCTTCTTTTCTTTCCCTCCTTTTTTTTTCACCCCCTCCCCTCCACTCCACTCTCAATGAAATTTTTTTTTGAAAGAGAGAAAGAGAAAAAGAGAGAGAAAAGAAGGAGAGAGAGAAAAGAAGGAGAGAGAGAAAAGAAAAAAAAATCTGCAAAAAAATCCCACTTTGGTCAGTTTTCACACAGTTCTGGTGAGTTTCACTGGAAACCGACGCGCTGACGTCACGTGTCGCGTCACGGTCGCGTCACGTGTCGCGTCACGGTCACGCCGCCCCGCCCCCTCCCTCCCTCCCTCCCACCCACCCGGACGGCGGCGTCATGACGTCGGATTTCTTAAAGGCGACGGTGCCCGGGGGTTTCGTGTGTTTTTTTTTCCCCCCACTTTTAAAGGCAACGTCCGCTTCACCCCTTTTGGTGACAATAATAATAATCCCTCCAAAAGCCAACAACAATAATAAAAATTGGTCTTTTTCAATCTCCGACTGTTTGTGGGACATTGCTGTGCGCAATTGGCTGCCGCGTTCGCCCACAAATATACAGTCAATTCACTTTACAGTGTGTTCTGTGAAGCGCTTTGGGACGTCCTCCCGACGTGAACAGCGCTATATCAAATGCAAGGATTATTATTATTATTATTATAATAATAATAATAACGCGTTTCACGTCCCGAAGCGCTTCCCGGAACGCACCGTAGAGCGAACTGACCGTAACGCTTGTGGCCGGACGCGGCAGCCGATTGCGCTGCGCACAGCGACGTCCCCACGGACAGCGGCGGACGGAACATGACCAATTTATTGTTGGTTTTTTTTTTGGGGGGGGGAGGTTCTGGAGGGATTATTATTATGAGGCTCTGTGCGGGAGTGAGGAAACTCGCCCGAGGTTTGGCCCCGACTGAACCCCCCCCCGGGGATTGAACTCAGGTCTCTTCGCTCGCAAAGCGAGTGCTCTAACCACTGAGCCACAGGACTCCGCGGGACTTTGTGTGCCACAGAGAGAGAGAGAGAGAGCGAGAGAGGAGGAAGAGGAATGATCAGAATACCCTCCACGGCGGCCTCGCCCCACCCTACCGACCCGCCCGCTCCCTCCGCTCAGCCGGTTCTGGCTGTTCCACATTCCCCCCCCCGACCCCCACCCACACCACCGTCGGCGGGAGAGCCTTCAGCCAATCTGCCCCCAACCTCTGGAACTCCATCCTCCAGTCACTCCGCCTCGCCTCCCCCCACCCCCTCCCCTTAGCCTCCTTCAAGTCCCGCCGCAAGACCCTCCTCTTCACCATCGGTCACCCTCCCTTTCCCTTCCGACTCCCCCCCCCCCCCCACCTCCCCACCCACCAGCTCGGGTCTGAAATGCTGTCACTGTCCAGCGCTTTGGGACGTCCTCCCAACGTGAAAGACGCTATACAAATGTCATCCTGTTGTTGTTGTTGTTGTTGTTGTCATTTGATACAGCGCCTTTTCATCACGTCGTTGAGACGTCTCGAAAAGCTTCACGGGACACACTGTAAAGTGGAGCGACTGTGTGTTTCGTGGGCGAAATGCGGCAGCTAGTCTGCGCGCAACCACGTCCCACAAACAGCCGTGGAGCAAAGTTCAATTTTTTTTTTATTTATTTATTTATCTAAGCGTTTCGAGATGAGAAAATAATAATAATTATAAGAAGAATTTGGTCACTCAATCCATGACTGTTTGTGGGAATGCCGCTGTGCACAATTGGCTGCCACGTTTCACCTGCAAAATATGCGGTCAATTCACTTCACAGTATATTCTGTGAAGCACTTTGAAACGTCTCGACGACGCAACAAGTCACCATATCAAATGCAAGGATTATTTAATATGGTCACCTTCCTATCCTCTCTTGCTGGGTGTCTGACACCGTTCCTGTGAAGCCCTCTGAGACGTTATCCAACATGAATGACGCTATATATAAGCACTTGTTGGCCTTATTCGACATATATATGATTCCTTATTTACTGTCACTATAAAAATACTATCACTACACTTGACAGCTATTACCCATGCAACGCTTTGGGATGAACTTGCCATTAAAAGTGCTATATCAAATGCGCAGATTATTTATTATTTTGCTGTGGAGGTGCGTACATCATAAACTCTATTGCATTTGTTCTTTTAACTGCACTGATACTAATACGAAGGCCTGTTGCCTCGTTCCTTGTCACCCACCCTTCCAAGATAAACAGACTCCCTGAGTGACTTTCTTTTAAAGAATCTTGGTCACCACCAAAATGGGTCAACAGGAAATAGTGCTACGGCGTGGGTGTTTCAATCTTTGCGAGCATCAATATACTGCATAACAGTGGTTAACGAGTCAGCCTGGAGCAGCGATAGTGCTCTAACCTTTGAGTCACATCAGGACTTGGAATTACACAGTCCGAGCTGAGGCTCCAGTGCAGCGGCCGGGGGTGTGATGCATTGTCCGAGACGCCGCCCTTCGGTTGAGAGGTTAAACCGAGTTCCCCGTCTGCCCGTTCAGGTGGACGTTAAAGATCCCGCGGGCCTATTCGAAAAGAGAAGGGAATTTCTTTCTCGCGCCAACAAATTCCCCAAATAAAATGGGTGACCCCCGCAATAATGACTGTTTGTGGGACATTGCTGGGCGCAAACTGGCTGTCGCATTTCGCCCACGGTGAATCCACTTAACAGTATATCCCTTGAAGCACTTTGAGAAGTCTCAATGACATGATAAGGTACTGCATCAAATGCAAGTACAACATTATTATTCTATTATTCTATTAACGGATGCAGATAAAATCCTGTATCAGGCTATGGGTTGTCAAAGCCTGTGACCAGGCCATGGCTCTGAAGTGAAGGGAGAATCACAGGGAGAGATCAAACTAGATCAAAGCTGAAGTCTGGGAGGAGGCCTGGGAGAGGTATCTGCCCTCGCTCCAGGCTGCAGATAATAACAATCCCTGTGTTTAACACAGCATGTACAATGTTGAAACTTCTTAAAGTGCTTCACAGCTTAATTGCTCCTGAGTGCAGTGACTGTTTACTTGTCGTCAAACACAGCGGTCATAAACAGCCATGACGTGATGAATGACTAACTTACCTGGAGGATCGGTGTCAACAGTATATCCCTTGAAGCCCTTTGAGATGTCTCAACAGCATGAAAAGGCGCCGGATCAAATATAAGGCATGGAATTCCAGAGGTTGGCGGTGTGGTTGCTGAAGGTCACCAAGGATGGGGTGGGGAGGAGGGCAGGGGATGAGGGATGTGCAGCAGGCAGATATTAACCAAATGGAGTATTACCTAAGTAATTATTACTTTGAGTAGATGCAAGAAACAAAGGCAAGGCGTAACCATCCAGGTTTATGGGCTTGTTTCTGGTTCTTGTGTTAGTTCTAAAGGAGAAAACAGCACGTACGCATGAAACCAGTCTTGAAGGTTGTTTATATAATATTTTATTGACTGTGGTTAAAGAACTCAACAAACTCCATTATTGTGGACATAATGTTGACTGAGTCTCTCAATGCTTTCAATAAAGTACTGAGAGCAATTAGAGTCAGGGATGTTTTCTGTGAACTGACTGGGTTGTGACAAATAGTGCAGTTACATAGGCTGATGATTCATGTCAGCTGCAGAATAGTCACTGCACTTTACAGTAAATCCTGTGAAGCGCTTTGAAGTATCCTCTCAATATGAAGTGTCCCATATCAAATACAAGGAGTATTATTACTACTATTATTATTATTATTATTAGAAAGGCAGAAAGTGTTTGGTGAAGTGTCGGTGAGGTTAGGGTTAAGGTTAGTGTAAGGGAACAATAAAGGTTTGACTTACACTACTGCTAGAGTTTAAAGAAAATACTTGTGACTGGTAGAGTGCAACAGTGATGGCAGTTTCCATCCACGAGGAACTAACATTCCTTTCAGAATAAAAGAATGTTCCTTGCCCAAAAGAATGACCCCAAAGTTGCACTGATGCTTATCTCTCTACGAGCTGCTGCAAAAAAATGGTTGTTGTAACTCTGTCACGCAATAAATCATTGTTAGCATCTTGCGTGGATCAATGTGTTATTGTGAGGCTTGAATGAACTTAGCCTTGATGACGTATTTGCTTATTGGCAGAAATATTTGCCAGATGTTTGTAGATTCCCTCCTTCCCATTGCTCAAATCCCCCGTTAAGTTCTGTAGTTCAGTGGTTAGAGTGCTCACCTCGTAAGCGAGGGACCTGGGTTCGATTCCCGGCAGGGTGACACCTTGGGGAAGTTTCCTTACCCCACACGCCTGATAATAATCCCTCGAGAAAAAAACCCAATAATAAATTGGTCGCTTCAGTCCACGACTGTTTGTGGGGACACTGCTGTGAGCAATTGGCTGCCGCGTTTCACCCACAAGTATACAGTCAATTCACTTTACAGTATATTCTGTGAAGCGCTTTGAGACGTCTCAAAGACATGAAAAGCGCGATATCAAATGCAAGGATTATTATATATATTATATATTAAGTTCTCAAAGTATTACTATTTCCTGCGTTTATAGCCACAGTAATGGCAGTCTGTTCCACTGGTTTATTTGCAACCAATGGAAATGGGGTATGCATTAATAACCTTGCATTTGATGTAGCGCCTTTCACATAGGGAGGACGTCTCAGAGCATTTCACGAGGGTGGAAGTGACCGTAAGCACGATCAAAAAAGGTCTTTTGGTGAGATTTGAAAGTGGGGAACCCTGCACTACAAGGCTCCACAATTTGATGGAACGGCAAGTGGTTAAATCATGGATTAGTTATTCAAGTTATTCAAATTAATGTTTTAATGACACTGGAAGCAGACGTGAGCATTTACATGCAATCTGTTTATTCCGCTGGTCAATTAAATGGACAAAGTGCCAACACCAAGCTGTTTAATTTCAGGCTTACTCAATTTGTCTGCTTAAATTCATCTAATTCAAGCCTGCCTGGAAAAATAAATCCGTTGAGCAGCGCGCAGGGTCCTTGGTGAGATAATCTGCTGAGTGGATTAATTCAACATGGGGTGACTAATTTGGGCCCGTTCAATGTTAATACAGCACGAGAATCCCTTCCTGCAAGGTACATGGAAAATGGTTACGTGCCAATTGTCACATCAAAATTACTCTGGGATTTAACGGTTCCGGATCACAAATTTGCTTTCAAAACATGTCCAAAAAATCTTTTTGACTGCGTCTTGAGTTACCTGTCACCTATCGCAACCCCCCTCCCCCCTTCATCCATCATCCATCCTGCTTGCCGCTATTAAAAGGTGTTTGAGACATTATCCTACGTGAAAGGCACTATATAAGTGCGAGTTGTTACTGCAGTGATTTTTTTCTTTGCAGGC